TTGCTGACTTCCTCTCCTGTTCTGGCTTACTTCGACCCTACGGCACCGACTGAAGTCCGCACCGATGCCAGTGGGTACGGAATAAGCACAGTGTTAGGTCAGCAACAACGTAGGCAGCATCGCGAGATAGCTTATGGCAGCAGGCTGCTGTCCCCTCGGAGCGTAATTATTCCATAACAGAGCTGGAATGTCTAGCGCAGGTGTGGGCAGTCGCGAAATTTTGCCCTTAATTTTACGGCCGACCATTTATAGTTCTCACCGACCACCAGGCTGTTTGCTGGCTCGCCTCCCTCAAAGATCCCACAGGTCGTCTCGCCCGCTGGGCACTCCGCCTCCAAGAGTATTCTTACACTGTAGTGTATAAATTAGGAAAAGTGCACAAAGATGTGGATTGTCTGTCACGCTACCCTGTGGCCGACTGCGATCCTACGAGCACTGATTCTTCGGGTTGCGTTCTTTCTATCTTTCAGCTGCTTCATATCGGAGACGAGCAGCGTCGCGATCCGGATATCAGCCACCTTATACAATAGCTCGAATCTTCACCGCAAGACGCTTCAGCTCGCATGTTTATCCTAAAGGCCCACACCTTATATCGATGTAATTTATCGCCCAATGGTTACGACCTACTTCTGGTCATACCAAAGCACCTGGGCTCCACAGTCCTAAGCGAGCTCCATGACGCGCCAACCGTGGGTCGCCTTGGTGTCTCTCTTACATATGACAGTGTGCGCCCCCGCTTCTACTGCCCTAGCCTTTCACGCTCTGTACGTCGCTTTGTCAACTCTTGCGAAATTTGCCAGCGTCGCAAAAAGCCGTTGGGACACCTGAGTATTTTCAGCCCATTGACATCGCATCTGAGCCAGTCATTCGTGTTGGTTTGGACCTTCTTGGTCCCTTCCCAACAACCGCCTCCGGAAACAAGTGGGTTGCGGTTGCTACCGCAAGTGGGTTGCGGTTGGTGAGCCATGCCAACAAGCTGTGCTACAGACAGCGCAGATTTTCTTCTACGCGATCTCATTTTAGTGCATGGGGCCGCTCGTCATGTGCTGACAGACCGAGGACGTACGTTCCTTTCAAAAGTGGTTGATAATATCCTGCGTTCCTGCTCTACCCAACATAAGCTCACGACATCGTACCATCCCCAGACAAATGGTCTTACAGAACGTTTAAACCGCACCCTGACAAACATGCTATCGAAATACGTCTTGGCCTACCATCGTGATTGGGACCTTGCCCTACCCAACGGGACGTTCGCATACAATTCCTCCCGGTATGACACTGCTGGGTACTCGCCATTTTACCTTCTGTTTGGACGCGCACCAACATTGCCGTTGGATACCTTCCTGCCAGCCGCTGCGCAGTCTACTTCTGAATATTCACGCGACGCTATTGCCCGAGCTGACCCTGCCCGTCAGCTTGACAGCATCAGCTTGCCCCCAGCAGTCCCAAGACTCATAGAAGCATCGTTACGACGAGCGGCATCGCGACGAACACTTTCGGACTAGTTCCCTCGTTCTTCTTTGGTCCCCTAGGTGACATACAGGCCTCTCAGAGACGCTTCTGTCTCGTTTATTGGGCCCATACCGCGTGCTTAGACGAGTAACTTACACTACATATGAAATTGTCCCTGATAATCCATCAGCCTCTTCTGCTATGCTGTCCCGGGACATCGACCACGTATCAAGGCTCAAGCGTTACCTCACTGCTCCAGCTGTGGGCCCGTAAGCTCGCTGGGTCGGCGCTTTTGCCGCCTGGGGTTGTGTTACGTGATTGCAGCTGACAGAAACAGGGCATAGTGGGACATACCCAAGAAAGGTACCTCAGACTGAGAGTGAAGAAGTGGACGTTGTCAGTGAGCTGCGTTGTGGCTGCGGACTGACTACTGTTATTTTCCACGTAAAAATATTAGCCATCAAACATATAAAAAATTTAAAACTGTCAAAACGTGCTAAATACACTGGCTCTTTAAGCATGGCGACAGACATGAAAACCCTTACGAAGCATACGGAACATATTCTTACCTCTGTCTACTCAATTTATGAATGATCTGCGGAAAGAAGCAGCATGTCAACATTTCTGGGTGCCAGGGAACCATGAGACTCAAGGAAATATTCGTGGCCCAGCTAACTGTTTCCGCCCACGAAAACGCCATTGCTAATACATATTAACTCTCCCCGCACTCGGCTTCAAACCCTTCCTTCCTTATCATGAATTATCGGCAGTGTTTATAGTATAGAGACACACAAAATAAAATTCCCCTTTTCACGACAACTCGCGAATGGGCTGCGAGTATCGAAGTCACGCTTCAGAAGTAACACTTTGCAGGTTAATAAAGGGACACACACACACTACACACTCACAACTCTTGTCAGATTGCAATCTACTTCTTTGGAATAGGTGCGGTGAACCATGCATAGTGCTTTGTGTTCTGATAGAGGACAAGGACTTGAATACAAATAAAAGAAACTGTCATTTTTCTCACCCTCAACAAAAGACTTTGCAGCCATTCGTGTTTATAGGTAGAAAACCGCTATTAGGTTGTAAATATGAATCAATGTTTGCGTGTTTAAAGGGGAAAATACTTTTTCTCTATATCTTTAACCATCTCGTAGCACGAGCTTCCGGAGTAGATGTTGCTGGTGCGTTGGCACATGGAAGTAGCACCTGCCTCGCAGCCCTTAATAAAACGGCTACAGATGAGACATTCGTGTTAATACCATATATCTCATCAGTGTGTTATTCAACGACCACTGTGAATTATTCATGCTACACATCATTTCCCGTCAGCTATATGATCTTTAATAGTTACATTATAGTACCTGTCTTAGGTCGTGGAACTTTCGGCCCCTATTTCGCCATGTAACAGTACCATACTTCAGGGGTCAACATAGTAACACAAGCCAGAGATTATTGCTATTTTATTGTCAATTCTCAGGGCTCTTTTAATCATGTCTGGCTCTTGTACCAGTCAAATTCACATAGCATCATCAGCAGAAGTAAGGGATAGGGCAGCAAAGATTAACAGTGAAAGGGCAATAAAACTGCCAAGCCCATTTTGGCTGTTATAGGAGATAATGTGTGGCTTAATGATTTTCAAGAAGAGATTGTTCGCCCAGGCTGGCTATGTACCTTAATGAATGAGCGTTCTGAACAAGCACAGGGAAGCGCTGATTCTGACGTCTGATACACACTTCAGACTGTATAGCTGAGGTCGGTACAAGGCCAGACCTCCGATTCGGTGACAATTCACTTGATTTCCTTCACAATCGCGGCTCTTACATGGTATTCAGGCACATTTTCTCTAAATTTTTGTTTGACCTAAACTTTTCAGTATCTGTAAATAGGATACTCGAAAAGACTTCAATCGATGGCAATTCATCCTTTAGAAGGACTGCCTAATCAATTATTCAATAATTGATTTTCCCGTGTAATATTCAGGCACGTTACTGCATTCTGCTCTAACCATGGCAAACAAAGTTGCTGCACAGCGGATCGCTACATGTTTCTTAAAGACGATGTCTACGCTATTTTAGCTAGAAAGAGTTCTAATTAGAGATACGTTAGCTTCCAGAAAAACAGGACAATTGGCACAAACACGCCCATACTGGCTTTCTGGATGCACTGCATACTTCTCGTTCTTGCATATCGTTTTTTGTTAGGCATTTCGCTTAACCAAAGTGATCTTATTTTCAAGACATGGCCAGAGCATTATTTGCAAATTTGATCAAGAACTTTTTTATGTATAGAATTTCTCTCAACCTATACTTGATTGAGTGGTGACTCAAAATCTATCGCCTGCTTTGCGTACACCAGCATAACGTTTCATTGCAATCGGTATTTAGCTAAACATTTATAAAATTGTACTCAAATGCAGCATGATACTGCACGCATTCTCGTCCTCAGTGCACACGGGAAGTTTCAACTGTGCCTTTGAAATATTTAGCGTTGTCATAGGCCCTAATTCCGCGTATATGCCATGTAGCGATGGAAATAAAGAGCCTGCAGTGATCAGCATCACAGGTTGTTGACCAGACAATTGAAAATATGGATGTCATTACTACTCGCTGATCCTCCGGATATATATACATATATATATATATATATATTTATATATATATATATATTGTTTCAAGCATGAAAAAACGAGCCCTTAAGTATATACTTCTTTTCTTAATTCATTAACTAGGGTCTCGTACTGGCAAACTTCATACCTTTAGGACATATACGTACGAGGGACGTACCATTGGTCAGCTGCCTGCTCGTAGTAAGTTTACGTGGTACGTGACGCCAAACGGACTCAAAAGAGTGTGCTACACTCACCTGAATGACTGCTGGTGGCGTTGACTGACACTCCCACGTGGAAATTCACATGTAAACCTAATAAAGCGGCTGGGGCGATAGCTGCGTCGTAGCTCAGTAGTAAAGCAAGCAATGCGTTATGCGAAGATCGCAGGTTTGGTTCCTGCCCACGGCAATTTATCTTTCCACCCACTTTTCTTTCTTCATAATTGCACTAAAATTCGGTCTAAGACCTTCCTCTATACTTCCCAGGGCATTATTGTCAATTAGATCTCATTAATAGTGTGTGAAACAAGCGATAATGAGCCCTTAAACATACACGTCTTTTTTTAATTCATTAACGAGGGTCTCGTACCGGCAGACTTGGTACCTTTGAATTGTATACGAGGGGCTACTGGTCAGCTGCACACTTGTAATAGGTTCACGCACTACGTGACGCCAAACAGGCTCAAAAGAGTGGGCTACACTCGCCGCCATGGCTACTGGTAGCGCCGACTGACACTCCTACGTTTAATTCACATATATACCCTATGATGTGGCTCGGGGGATCGCCTTAGTGGTAGCCCAGTGGTAGAGCATGAAGCGCGTTATTCGAAGTTCACAGGTTCGGTTCCTGCGCACGGCAAGTTATCTTTTCACTCACCTTTCTTTCTTCAGATTAACTTTACAAATCGCTTATATATATATAATTTGTTTTGCAGTCATCAAGAGGCCAGTGGCCTGCTACATGGGGCCAGATTATGGTCTTGGCATAGGACATCATGAGCGTTTCTTCTACAATCACTCAAACAAGAGATGCAGAACATTTGACTATAGCGGAAGTGGCGGAAATGGCAAAAATTTTGACACAAAACGAGAATGCAGATACTTGTGTGGTCGTAAGTAGTGCTACTGTCTCATACCTTATACACTGTTGCACAATGACAGCTTGGAGTAAACACTACCATAGTAGAGACTACATAATAGCTAACTTCTACTGTTTTAGCTTTGTGCGTTTGTTCTCTTGTTTTGAAAATACTTCTATCAAAGGTGTAATAGCAAGAAAACATTTTTGGTTTTCACGTTAATGAATGTAGAGCTGAGCTCATTGGCTTCGTCAATTTACCAACTTTCGGCAGAATCAAATTTCATTTTTAGAGCCGTTCACCTAGCTACAGACGCAAAGCGAAAGATATATGTGTAGTTCCGTTTGTGTGATACATCAGTACCTTTTGCGAAAAATGCTGTTCTTGCAAATTCGTGCAATAAATATAGAAACTATCTGCATTGAAGCGAATATAAAGATTCATGTGTACTTCACCGTGAACACGTGAAAGTGATCTTTGTTAGAAATACCATAAAATATGCATTGAAGCGTCAGTGGCCGTAAGGATTTTTAAACCAATGTTCAAAAATCCTTACGGCAAAAAACACAGACTTCAAGAAAGGCAGGTGCTTACTTTTCCTGACGTCTGGATCGTCTTTTTCTATTTTCTTTTTCATATATGCCACGCTATTGTCTACTTTCTTTGGCGGCTTTGTTTTCTTTGTTTTGTTTTTTTTGTTTTTTTATATGTGGCATGCTAGTACTAGCTAAGTACACAAATAACCAACTCGCCCGAGCCACCACAATTCTGAACTTCATATAACAAGCTCAAACCTGCTAAAAAAATGCCCGCAGCTTCCCTCGGGGGAACACTGAGGAGGATGCGGCGCATATAATTGGTTAACGGGGTGTTAAAGTGCGACTTACTTGGGTCGATGATTAAATTGGTTAACGTGGTTGTAGGAATGGTGTTAAATAAGTGAACACGTACACACGTATGCGAAAGGGCGGCGCTGGTCGAAGGGACGTCGATCGTTCTGTTTGTGGATTCGTTGGCATTCATTTCACGGCGACTTCGGACGTCGACGCGCCGTACAAACCAACGGACGAGCGGCAACTGAGCGAGCGAGCGCCGACCTTGAGTATATATACAGTGCGACGGCGCATGCGCTGTCAGCTGTCGAATGTTCTCGAAGGAGAAGCGCGCGCGCGGCACAGATGGCGACGACGCGACGGCGCATGCGCTGTCAGCTGTCGAATATTCTCGAAGGAGAAGCGCGCGCGGCACAGATGGTGGGCGACGGCGCGACGGCGCATGCGCGCGCGTCAGCTGTCGAATGTTCGGCGCGATGGCGCATGCGCGCGCGTCAGCTGTCGAATGTTCGAGAAGCGGTGCGGACGGCGCGGACGGCGCACTACAAGGCGCGAGTATAAGATGCTTCCGCATCTAAAAGGTGCGTTCTCAACGACAGCAACTCTTCACTCCTATTCGAAACCAGTGTAGTATACAGCTCTACACCACGATGCTCTTTGTCAAAAGTCAGAGGCGTAACAATGCTGTTTGAATACTCTAAACACGTGACAACTGCGTACTTCCAAACGTGACGGAATCAAGTATTCAGCTCACAGTACTCCTGCTGCCAGCTTATGGCGCAGTGTCAGCAGTTGTACTGTTGTATAAACTGTTCCCACTGCTCGTTATCTCTTCTGCTACGTCGGACAAACTGGCGAAGGGGTGTGTTTCCTTTCCCCATCATTGTGTTACCGTGGTAGAGATTGCCAGTGACGACCAGATGCAGCCGCATGAGCATCAAAAGGGGCATTGAAGTCTGCGTAAGCCAGTATGACTCTAAGAATTCGAAAGCCAAGGTATGACTCTCCTTCTATTTAGCTAACTCTTTTTCTTGCGCTCTTGGTCGTTTTTATTCCCTCTATTGGTTCCCCTATATTTGTTTACAGTGATTTCTGTTGTTGTCTGTTTGTTTCGCTCTTACTTTTTCTGCCCTATGCTTTCTCTCCCCCCTTAACAATAAATTATTGAGGTTGATGTAACTGGTAACGTGATTCGAATGCGAAAAAGTTGAACGCGTATTCGGGCAGTGTGTAATTGAGTTCGCGCCCCGTCTTGCCACGAGAACACACATTTTATTGTTCCGATTTCTTCTCCTTCCCCTCCCCACTTCACTTATGGTCGTATTCTTTGCGCTTCGCTGAGCAGATTTTTTTGGTTAACGTTCAGAAACCTACTTGTTGAAATGGCAAGCGGAGACCTCCTCCTCGAAGTTGGAGAGAAAGAACAGTTTGAACATTTACACAATCTCACAACTTTTGTTGACACCACGACCACAGTAACACCACACAGATCAATGAACACAACATGTGGAGTAGTATGTGACGCTGATTTGCTTGAACTGTACGAGGCGGAACTTCTGGAGGGATGGAATAGTGAAATTTTGACCAATGTACAAAGGAATATCATCAGAAGAAACAACGAGCAAACACCAACAAAACACCTAATACTCACGTTTGCTTCCAGTAATCCACCAGAAACTAGCCATACTGGGTATACGAAGACTTCGATCACGCCATACCTACCTAACTCACGTTGTTGTTTAAATGCCAAAGGTATGGCCACGGCTCCCAAAGCTATCGGGTTCACCAAAGTTTTGCACAATGTGAAGTCTCAGGACACAATTCCGACAACTGCAAAAAAACCATCACACTTTGTGAACTGCTGCCGAAATCATGTCACATACTCATGATCCTGTTTATTTTAGAAAAAAAAGAAAAAAGATATTACCACATTGAAGATAAAAGAAAACATGACATTTAAAGAAGCAAGAAGAAGAGTCTCACCATTTTATGGCCCCACATATGCTGAAACGGCGCCTCAGGGTTCACCGCCCCACTATCCCTCACCACTTCTTTGGCCAGCGCACAGCGAGCCGTCAGCATTGGCGCCTGCTTCCAAGGCAGCAGTAGTTCAATCTACTTCACCTCCTAGTGAATTGAGACCGGAGACTCCAGGGTCCTCTGGTCTGAAAGCCTCACCTGACCAGGCGAAGCCCAAAATCCAAACTACAAGCTCAAACGTGTGGACAGTCAGCGCCTCTTAGGACGCAATGGATTCAATGGTACCCTTGGCACCGAAAAAGCGGCGTGGCTTCTTGGAGAGCACGAAGAGAAATAAAAAGCCAACAGCGGGGCCATACGACTGTGCTGCGACTTGAATCAACTAGTTCACTTCAGCACAGGATAGCCTCTGTACACACAGCAGCATCTCTACTTAATATGCACGCAGACATATTACAGTGGAACATCCGAGGCCTTCTTCGACACCTCAATGTCCTACAAGAAGTCCTCAAAGAACACAATCTAAAAGTGCTGTGTCTACGAGAGACACACTCAAAACGAACACACACAAACTTTCTACGTAACTACGTCATTTTCCAAAAAGATAAGGATGATGCCTAATGCCTTCCTTATACATTTTTTTCTTTTCTTTGTAAGAAATAGTGCAGTTACCGCCTATAGTAAACTATAAGCTCTTTTGGTCAATCCCTGAAAGATGGTATGTGCCATGGATTCTAGGCTACAACCAAACATTCAAACAAACAAGTCATGTCAGGCAAATGCATAAGAGGCCCGGCGAGTTGTTCTTTTAAGTAATGAGAAATAAAAAAGACAGTTTTTTTGTTTTTTGTGGCAGATATGCAGGATGGTACAAAGCAGTATCATATCCTAAGGCATGCAAATAATGGGATTTCAAAGCTAGAAAATTAAAATAAAAACATGATTCCGTAAAACTCGAACGCATATATCGAACGAAAGCAGCGCGCTGGTATGTTCGTGTTACTTTTCATTCTCCCTGCATCCGTGAAGCCATCAAGAAGCACGACTGCAAATTGGATGGATGGAAGGATGGATGGATGGATGAATGGATGGATGGATGGATGGATGGATGGATGGATGGATGGATGGATGGATGGGATGGATGATGGATGGATGGATGGATGGATGGATGGATGGATGGATGATGGATGGATGGATGGATGGATGGATGGTGGATGGATGGATGGATGGGTGGGTGGATCTGTCTGTGCCCTTTAGATTGCGCGATAAATCACCATATTCATAAACCTTAGCCATAAACTTAAGAACTATAACTGTGCACACAAGGATTGAATTTCACTCGCGCCTTGATTGTAGTCACTAAACAGTTAGCCTCCTTTTGGTTATTTCTACCAGTTTGAAGTCTATTTTGCCTTCACTGTCCCTAAACCCCAATGCTTTGAAAAATTGAGTGCCATTACTTTCGACAATAGCGTGGAGCCCCTCACATAACAATATCAAATGTTCAACCGTCTCTTCCTCCTCTCCACATGCACTACATACCGTGTCTGTGCCTTCGTATTTTTCTCAGTACGTCTTGGCCCGCAATACTCCTGTTCTAGCCTCAAAGAGCAGAAAACTACCCCGAGAATCATGGTAGATCTTCTCTGCAATTTCACGTTTAAAAGTTTGGTAGGTCTCTAGTGATTATTTCGTAAGCATTGCTATCTTCCACATGCCCCTCTCTGTCTCCTGCACCTTCTTCTTAAACGATGTTTCCTTTTGGCATGGTATTCTGTTGTTATCTAAATACTTTTTTGGCATATTTTGAGCTTCTCCATCTCCGTCTACTTCGTTTAGTATCGACAATCTTCATGTACAAGTAACTGAAACTTTACTACCCCAACGCTCCTCTCCGATTTTTCTCAATCGCTGCTCAAATTCTATCTTTCTACTAGCTTCCCTGCACTCAAACGATGTCCATCCATGTCTCCCTGTAACCCCTGATTTGCGTAATTCCCGTGTGTTTTCAAAGTCCACCTATACCACGTTGTTTCATTTCCAATCTTGCTTGAACTTCTGAATTTGTGCACAAGACCGCATAGCTGAACGTCAAACATGGGCCCATGACACCTTTG